TCATTCCAAGTCTATATATTTAGTGAATTTGTTAGTGTGAGTGGAACTAATTATTATTTTTATATTTTCCTCAGGGGTTTTACCTGAAGCGATTGTACAGGCTTGTGGCAAATGTAATCCAGCACAGAAGCACTTAGTAAGGCTTTTCTTAGAAGCCTACTCGAAGAAAAGGCCACAAGAGTACGAAAAGTTCAAAGATTTATTTGATCCTGAAAGGAAATACTTTCCCAAATTCGAAGCTTCCGTTGCCGGGTTTTAAGCTACGAGATAATTGAAAAATATTATTATAAATGATTTAGTTTTAATTGCTTACTTACTATTAAAAACATTTACGTTTGATACAATGTGTATTTTATTTATTACCTAAAATAAAAAGAAGCAATATTTATAGACTTGGTACGTACGTTACATAAAGGCATTAATGAGCCAATAAAATATGCCTCATTTATGAAATATGATCGTCTGTCAGGATTTCTCACTTCTCGGAAAGCAGTAGAACTCGATAATTTATAGCAAAAAATATAACATCACGCCTTTTAGCCCCGAAGGGTTAGGCAGAGGTGCACATTACGGCATTTAACACTATACAATGTAAAACCCTCTTTTCACTATTTATGTTATAAGTCCCATCGAATAGGGGGTCTATTGCCATACACCGGGCACATTTACAGACTCCGTGCTACTCCTGAGAATTTTTAAAACCCAATACTTCGCCCGACCCGGGAATCAATCCCGCGACCACTCGGCCCACGAAGCAGTCAAGTGGATTTTTATGGGATTTTCCCTGTAATTTATAGAAAAATACAGAACACATCCATTATCCATAATATATTAATCACAGAGACGAAGAAATAGATTAAAATCAAGTGAACATAAACTAGACCGGGTTAGGACTAGATTTAATTAATTATTATATCTACCAGACAACCTTGCACTTAATAAATTATTCTACGACTTTCAATCACAAATTATTACTAATATCTGAATCTGTGATTTGATGACGATCCAGTTTGATACGAGTAGTTATTGAGTTCGTTTGCTTTCGTGTTTACTTATTTACCAATAGAGGTGGTCAATATTATAGGTGAGTAACAATTAGTATTGTTTTTTTTGTGTCATTCCATCTCATTTTTATCCAGTAATGTTTTAAACCAAAACTGTAGGTAATGTTTCATATACCAGAGCTATTTTCGATTGCCTGGACATAGTACAGACACTGTATTAAAGAATTTTAAAATCAAAATCAAAGATATTGTCATTCTGATTAAATCTCGGATGATAATAAATGAAGAAAATTGTTATCGATATGACATTTTTTTTTTTTCAAAAAATATCAATACAATCATACTCATTTGTTAAATAATCGCATGCAATTATTCACCTGACTATGGCATACTTTATATGTAGTTACATTGAGGTAGACAATAATGGGGCATAAAGGTTAATTGCAAGAAGGTTTCCGGCGGCGACGCGCCATGCTGCTACACCCTGTATGATTACATCATCATGAACACTAATTGATAACAATACGTGAAGTCTTATTACCTCGTGGAGTACCGGTTTTGTAGACACAATTATAGAACAATAGGTTGCGATCACCGGTGACCGCTTGGTGTTTGACAGTTTAACCCCGAATCCTTACTAATGTATAAAAGTGAATAAAATGTGTTTGTTTATTTGTTTATCTTTCTCTGAAAAGAGGGATGGTAGGATAATGAGGATGGAAAGTGAACTTCAATAAGACTTCAACAAGTACTATTTATGACTATTATACATTTATTAAGTGAAAATTTTGAGAATGAATAAAAATAGAGTTTTGTCAAATTTATGTTCAAATACTCAAACGCAACTCGATTTTAAGACGCGCTCAAGTTTTTACTTAAGAAGAAGAAGTTACAGAACTATTTCTGTTGCTATAAATTCTTCGTATAATGACAGAGATGGCATGATATTTAAGTACTATTTAAAATTGATTAGCCTTTCAGTATTCGGGTGTCAGTAGCAGACAGCCAGCGTTGACATTTATCAGATCTTCGCAAGTGATGGGGATGTGACTCAACGCATCTATCATGCAATATGCCAAGGCGATGCAGTTGACGGAATAAACACGATAAAATAATTGTTTTTAAAGCAGCGTCAGTGGATTTTAAGCGCTATTTTTTTTTAGCTTCGCTTCATATATTCCTTCATATATAACCATTTGACAAAAAAATTTCGATAAAGTAAACGTTTTAACTGTAGAAGTCAGATACATTCTAGTTGTTTCTCAGCCCATTTAAAACTAAATATCTACATAATACTTTTCCAGTATATCGCTAACTTTCTCAGTCTTGTTTAAATGTCCGTTGACGTCGTCGTATCGATGTATCTGAGGTATTCTTGTTGGACATTATTGACGAACAGTAAAAGACTCGTCCTCAAAATTTTGCACGGCTGTAAGACACGCGCTGGACAGAAATCGCTGGAAGCAGACCATCCGCTCCAGATGCAATTCTGATGCTAACCACGATCCTCAGACATGAGGACACGACTGAAGCACTCTTACTAGATAAGTTATGGGTTCCAAAGAGAAAGAGGGCCTGGGTGCTTACTCTTGAAACCAATCTCAATGTCGATGCAATTTCAATCCAATATAATCTCAATAATTATCCAATGTCAAAACTATACAACCCCTACCGTAGCTGTTGAAATAGTAATCAGAGTACGGAATATAAAGCCAAACTCAGTACCATTTAGTTCATTCAATATCCACGCAATACGGATGCAATGTGCGCTAGTGTTACAACTCAAGAGTACGAAATTTCACAATGCCAATGTCGATTGATCGGAATTGGATTCAAGAGGGGCTTCCTTGGTGTAAACTTGGCAAATTCAAAGAAGATAGGAAGAAATTCTGTAAATAGAAAACGGGTAACCAAAAACAAAACAACTGATATTCAATCAGAAAAACTAGCCTTACCTAAGGAGGATAATAATATACGAGTAGAGTAGGTATTATTAGCATATTTACAAGTGACCGCAAGAAGTGATTTTTGCCCAGATAAAGATCGATATCTTCAACAAATGATGTAATGGCGTTGTATAATGAAAAATGCATTTCTGTCTCTATTAGGATACTTAGGCTTAGGCTATGTTTCACCAGGACACAATGGCGGCGCAACCAGTCGCTCCACTATGATAGCCGGACTGGCGGCTGTGTGAGTAACACACCATACAGTGCTATAGTAATTAGTGATGGCGCGACCAGCGTGGATGACCGACCAGAAACATTTTGTGCTGGCATCGGAACGGGTCGCACCGCCTGATTGATTGCGCAACCAAGCAGACACCAAATGAGTAACTCCTTGTGTGACTACAGGTTGCGCTGCCATGGTGCCACGGTATAATATAGCCTTTAGGTACAGTGTCACATAAACAAACAATTGATACACAATTGATTAACAAATCACGTCCTAATGCGATAGGTCACCTCAAAACTACGGCTATATAAAAAAGTCTACATCTTCGTAGGTAACTAGCTACTTCTATGATTTCCACGCGGTTTTACCCGATGCTAGGCTCCAATTGTTTGTTTTAAAGTAATATTGCCTTATAATAGGATTTTCTCCTGTGTAGTGGGTGCATTTACAATCACATACACATCATATCTAGACCCGGAACAACAATCTGTGAATCACACAAAGAGTTGTTCTGTGCGAGAATCGAACCCGCAACATGTTGCGCAGCAGCCGGTTGCCCAGCTATCGCGCTAACCGTGCAGCCCTATTGATCGTAGTGTGAATTTTTATAGCCCGAGTCACTCTCCATTCCTATAATTATCTCTAGTTAAAAAAAACACGGGAATTCGTCGATCCGTTTGCCATGAAAGACGGACAAACAAACAGACACAAACATTTTCACATTTGTAACATTAGTATGGCTTTCTATGTTATTAGTTAGTATAGCTAATGATACTAACATCACTTTTCGGTATTTTTATCAATATTTTTGTTTAGGTAATTACTTTGATAAATATGATAGCTTTCAAAATATTTGCTTATTAGTATTGAGATAATGATAAGAATAAATGCATTATTTTTGTATTAACATGTACTTGTTATTATTATTTGAGTGGTTGTGTAGAGAAGCAGTGGTCGTTCTTCAAAGTTGGTAATCTTCTCTTTCTTTCAACTCTTATTCTTATCTACTTTAGGTTGGTACAGTATGTCTAATGATTTATTTGGGGCATCTCGCCACAGATTCCTAAATTTTGGAGCCTAAGGCATTTGACGCATCCAGCAAGTTGAAACTGATGTATTCATTGAATACTTAACAATCTATCTATACATATAATGAATTCATAGGAAAGTCAAAACTGTACATTTAATATTTTTGTAAAAAAATACTCGAGGCATGATCTACAATCGATATCGAAGCCAAAATATAGTTTTTAGAATTTTAGTCTGTTTGTCTATTTGTCTGTATGTCTGTATGTATGTCCGGGCTAAACTCAAAAAGTACTGTATGGATTTACTTCAAATTTTACATGAATAATATTAGCAGGTCCAGTCCACTATTCCACGCTTACGAAGTCGTGGGCACAGCTAGTACACAATAACAGCACATGATCGAATGAACAAAAAAGTTTAGAGATCTTAAACATATACAAACTGGGATTTTATTGTCAGATCTAAAAATGAGTCAAATTAGCTTTAAGTTTTTATGTAACTAGCAACGATGTAATAAAGCAGTAATATAACCAGTTTTTGCCAAACACTTATTGCTCTAAATTAGCCAGGAACACGATTTGGGCTGGTCATTCACCTTTATGGCACGACACGAGAAATCAATCGACTTTGCTTTGATCACCAATCATATAATAATAATAATAATAATAATAATGTTTATTAACCATAATTTTTACAGTAACTCTTATATATAAAATTAATCGTTACAACATCATATAAAAAGTGAGTACTTAAGATGAAACTATGGTACCCAAGGTAAGATCAAACTTGTGTTATGGGTACCACCGTTGTCCTTCTTCATTTGCACAAACTTAAGGTGTTGGACGAACACTTCAAACAGGTTTAGACTGGAATAAACATTATTCTAATATACTGTACTATATATTATTTTCTAAGTAGGTACTAATGCAGCCTCTTTTGATTTGCGAGTGCATACTTAATTATTATTTTGTGTATGAAAATGTTGGTGTAGTGTGAATGTATGTGTAGTGTGAATGTATGTGTAGTGTTTAGGTGTGTGTATATATGTGTGTCAAAGAGTAGAAATCTTAATAAGCTCTTCCGTCTGGTCGTAATTTAACGTTAAAAGCCATTCATGAACCCTTGCCTTACACCCCCTCCGGCACAATGAAACAATGTCACAAACATTATGGACCTTGTTGTAAAAATATAACGCTCGTGTTAAATTTTAATCAACCAAATAATATACCATAACCTCACGTCTTTTTATCCACGAAGGGGTAGGCAGAGGTGCACATTAGAGACACCCACTTTTCAATATTTATATTATGAGTCCCATGTAATACGGAGTGAGCATATTTCCATATACTGGGCACGATTCCAGACACCGTGCTACTACTGAAACTTCTTTTAAAAATCCCATTAATACTTTGCCTGATGGAAAAAGCGAAACCCCCTGTCTGGCAGTCGCACTTGCGACCACTCAGCCAACGAGGCAGTAAACCAAATCAATTTTTCTAAAACTAGATTTAGAAATAGATTAAGTACAGTAAAACATGTACTTTTTTGCAATGATTATATGCGACATGCTATTGACAGACATGTATTCTATTGTAGGCATCGTCTTCACTGTTTTTGTGAATTAGATTATCATGTTATTTCTTTGAGAACAATACTGTTTTTTTATCAATCCATCGAACGTGTGGGTAATACCTATGTACTAAGTATAAATAATAAAGGAACACTTAAGTATAAAAGGAACGTACCACTGCATATGAGCATTATTCGTCCACAACTCTTTATTCTTAAATAGGGTAAGTCGTTGCTTGCTGGTTTTAAAATTAATATTTTATGTTTTACTTTTTGTAATTGTTCTGTGTATCTCTGTATCGCTATGTAAATAAAATCATTACCGTAACGTAATTATAAGCGCATTCCTCTTAGTTTTATTATCATTTTGTTTAAAATTTGGTTACTCGTTGGTTGATGGTATTCATTATTCTTTTATTATATATGTCTATTAATTAAGTATCGAGCAAAAAACAAATAGTTAATTAACATAAAAATCTAAAAACAGTGCTCATCTGATGGTTGTTATTATGTGCACAAAAGAGGATTTTATGTCACGTATATTATTCTTTTCATGTCTATTTCTTAAAAAAAAAGCGCTGTCAAACAAGTTTCAAAACGTCTTTCTTGCGTCTTTCTTTCCCTGACACGTTTAACTTCAGAAGCATTGTGTAATAAACAAAATAATTTGATTTTACAGAATATCAATACTGACACGATGAAGTGCATCTACGTGTTGTCTGTTCTGCTGGTTTTTGCGGCTGTCCAGGCTGACGAGAAGTACAGCTCGGAGAATGATGACCTGGACATCGACGCCGTGGTAGCTGATGTTGATGCCCTCAAAGGCTTTGTTGGGTGCTTCATGGACGCTGTGACTTGCCACGCTGTTGCTGCCGATTTCAAAAGTATGTATAGCATTCATGTTCCGGTTTAGTTTTGGTTATTTGCAATCGACTTTTAAATAGTACTAATAGAATATGCAGGTTTTTTAAATGTCTATCAGCAATTATATAAATATTGCTCTACTATCAAACAATTTATTAAACATTTATTTTAATTATTTAACTCGTCGAGTACTGGTTTTGCAGACACAATTATAGAACAATAGGTTGCGGTCACCGGTGACCGCTTGGTGTTTGACAGTTTAATAAACGTGATTGTCCTGTATTTACAATTTAAATCAGATGAAAAGCGCTAAGCTATTTCATGAATTCAATGTAAATTAATTAATTAATTTACTTGTCAAGTCCTTATCACATAGTGTGATATAATGTCCTTTAAGTCTCACCTATAGAATGACCATAGTATTTTCTCTAATCAGAGGTTTGGTCTCTGAGCATATACCGTCCGAATTATAAGTTAACAAATTTTTAAAATCGGTCGATTTCTCTCTACTCTTTCTACGATATCTACTTTTAACTTTGCTAGTCAAGTTTAAAATGAATTATATTCAGTACATTGCGATGCTATCGGAGCCCAGGTGGATGCAGCTAATCATTTACATGATAATCTTAGTCACTGCTTACGACAGGCCCCGGTTTATAACTGGTTCTTCTTGTTATCTCATAGTATTGCAGAGAACATTACACATACGTGCCCCAACTTGAGGCCAATTTTGAAATGCGCAAAAATCTGCAAGTTGTTATGATGTGTGGAGTAATAAGTAGTGGTATAATATGTATAGGTACTTATACATACTGGTATAACAACTAGCTTCTGCCCGCGACTTCGCCTGCGTTTCTGTGGAATAAAAAGTGGCCTATGTTGATACATACATAATAATATAACATCACGCCTTTTATCCCCGAAGGGGTACGCAGAGGTGCACATTATATCACTATACTACTACACTGTACAATGTAACACCCACTATTCACTATTTATGTTATGAGTTCCATGTAATAGGGGGTGAGCCTATTGCCACATACCTGGCACAATTCCAGACTCAGTGCTACTACTGAGAATTTTATAAAACCCAGTAATAAATTGCCCGACCCGGTAATCGAACCCGAGACCCCTTGCCCGGTAGTCGCACTTGCTACCACTTGGCTAACGAGGCAGAACGAGTATTATAATTATAATAAATATTACTATTTACACTGATAACCTAGTCATTGAACTTTAAATTGTTCCTTTGTTGCATAAATCGCCTGTGATAATGGAAAGTTATTGGAAAGAGTTGTTTTTTTTTATTAAAATGAGGTTACTTATTGTGCCGAATGGCATTCTCTACCAGCCAACCATAAGGTGATGCAGAGACGTGTTACAGTAGGCTTTAAAAGAAGTTTGCATCTATCGAAAAAAAAATAAAAACGAGGGTGATAAATGTACGTACATATGTATAAAGGTATCCTAGTACATAAACTACATACCAATACTACATACTAATATGAAACATAAATATAATATGTAAATATATAATATAAAATATAATATAATATAAAAATAAATATATAATGGGTTTATATATTTTATATAATTATATATATAAAGTTTCTGAGGAGGGTGTTAATTGAGACTTGATTGTGTCAGTTTGTTCCGATCTATTTAATATTATCTATTAGTTATTTTTTGTCTTGTCGCTGCCTGCATCATTCATATATCAGGTTGTTAATACATTATAACTGATATTGCTCTTATGTGCTAACTGTACTTACATTATACCTATTTGTTTGTTTATCTAATTGAATAATTTAAACTTGGGCTAATACCTAACTATTCTCTTGAGCATGATGTGTTAGCCTTTAATTGATTGTTACACTAGCAATTGCATATTGTATCTAAACCGATTTGTTGTAATATGATGTGTCAACAGTCGTTGGCTGACCTAAATAAATAAATAAATAAATTTACTAGCTGTTGAATTTTAAAACATAACTTTTTTGTTTTTAATTTCCCAAAATAAAAGTAGCCTATGTTACTCCTTAATACATCAACTACCTGCCAATAGAAATATTTACAAGTAACTTACTAATGGAGAGACGGACAGACAAACATTGTAAAAAGAAATATTTTGGTATGTCTATCGTATGTATACGCATGTAATAAGCGATTATTTTAATTTTACAAACAGATATCGGGGTATGGGTTATAATTTTTTATTACTATTATGTTTCTTGTAGACCAAGCCTATCACCGTAATATAAGCCAATCACTTTTAAAATTTTATCACTATTAATAAATTATCCGGTAGGTACTATGGATTTTGTTCGTATAATTTGAATTTTTAATTTATTTATAGTAATATTGCCTCATTATATAGACTGCCTCATTGGGCAAGGGGTCTCGGGATCGATTCCCGAGTCGGGAATAGTATTACTTGGTTTTACTCAGTGGTATCACTGGAACTGGCCACCCCCTTTTCATAGGACTCATAACATAAATACTGAAAAGTGGGTGTTACATTGTATAGTGGCATTAAGTGCCGTAATTTGCATGTCTGCCTACCCGTTCGTGGATAAAAGGCGTGATGTGTTATAGTAATATTCTGCATAAAATATAACAAACGTGTATTGCGCTAAGGGACTATGGTCTTTTGCTCATACATAAAACGAGCAATTAGTAGTTTTGTCCCCGAGTCAATAGGTTCAAAATGCAATTGGCATTGAACTAATCTTAACAAACTGTCGCATTTACAATAGTGCAGTAAATACTTGATAAATGTCAGTGGCACGGCCTCATCATATTTTACAGATTTGCTGATTCGAGGTTGTCTAGAAATCTTTGACTGCAATAACCCTCCCTATTGTATTATCCTTAAAGTGCAATTTAGTTTGAATAAACTATATCTATTATTTTAAAATAATAGGTGCGGTGTATAAAAACATCGTGAGAAAAGGTTAGAACTCACAATGAGTACGTAATTAGTTGGTTTATCGATTTGATGTGAGTTCATCATGAATTGTATTTATGGAAATAGGTACCTACATACAAGAAGCATACTTATACTGTTTTTAGAACGAGTTTATACTTCACAGTTGTATTTGAAACCATATTTTACTCAAATGTTAAACATTAAAACATTATATAATCACAAACACAACCCTCTATTGCATAGAAGATGGGGCTGAAAAGTGGTTGCAGCATAAAAATTCAGTACTTTTACTTCTATCAATATCTTCGGATATTGACAAACGCACGATATTGTGTGGTAATAATTAAACTTTAAATAGTATTTACCAGTATTTAGGGTTAACATTTGTCTTCTCCATTTTCAGAGGATCTTCCTGAAGCGGTAGCGACAAGCTGCTCTAAATGTACGGATGCCCAGAAGCATATCTTCCACAGGTTCCTTCTCGGACTGAAACAGAAGCTGCCTGCTGACTACGAAGCCTTCAAGAAGAAGTTTGACCCTGAAGGTCTACACTTCCATACTCTTGAGGCCAATGTTGCCAACTCTTAAAGACCTTTGAGAATGCACAGGCTAAACAACTTTTATTACATCATTATTACCTCGATTAATTTTAATAAACGGCTTACTGCCAATTATAATAACCAATCTCAATCGAAAGTCTGTGATTAAGATCGATTTTTAACAGAAATCCATACATTTAATGTTAAAAATCGATATAGAAGATAGGCTATTTAAATCGGCAGTTACTCACGTAACTATTCGAGTAGCGTGCAAGCCCCGGTGTTACTTGAAACTTGTAGAGCGTTTCTCGAATGTCTCACAGGAGTAACCGTATTTTAAAATTAATTTAGAAGTCTCTTGGTAGTTGTTACACGTCATTAATGTTCTCATTTTACTCAATTCATCGAATGACTAAGAAACATGGTTCTACAGTTAAGAAAAGTTGTCTAGTCTGTGTAGTACTTAATATTGACTTAAGCTTAATTCTTTTAAACCCGACCTTGTAATTGCAGTAAAGTAGTCTGTCTTTGTCAAATAAGCATTTATTCTAAGCAAGGATAATGTTTTTGTCGAGTCTTCCTAGAATAAGAATGAATTGTATTTTATTTTAGTTTATCATTAACATTGAAGGATAATGACAAAAAGTGAAAGATTTTATGACAAGATGCAGCTTGTCTTTCAATAAAATTCCGTATAATGAAAGTTTTTTTGTTTGTTTTAACAGAATGACATGCCTAATTAGTATTTCGTAGTATTGCCTACTCAAAGTTTTATATAAACATTTATTATCATCATTATTTCCTTTATTTATATTTACGCTTCACTTATGCTTAATTATAAAAAAAAAAACATTTAAAAATATAGAAAGCAGTAACCCACCAGTAACGGGAGAAATCCAAGCTACCAGTGGTCAGGGCTCCAGAGAGGGGAATTTCCGGACTATACGCGCCGTGTCCAGAAGTACTGCTTTTTGCATCAGGCTTTTGACCCAACCATCCAACGCTAGCCTACTCAGTGTTGGTCGAGGATTTTAGCAATGCGGCCATAGGCCGATACGACTATCGCACAATGACTGCTCCACATCTACATCCCACCCACAGGTCGACAATCTCATAAACTAAATCAAGATTTTTATATTATCATCATTATTATTTTGATTATCAAACATAGTTTCTGACAACATAAGATACACACAATTCGTAAGTCCTACAGTTAAACCTATACCGATGTGGCTAATATTGCATGGTGAATTATGGAAACACGATTTCAATAAAACGCACACGCAGACAAAAAGTTGAAAGACACCTTTATTAGTGTTTGCAAGCATCTTGCCGCCTTTAATTGTTTTATTTGAAAATTTGATGGTTAGACTTCTTCGAAAACAAATTACCTATCATATTATAATGACTGTAGCAAAAAATCTTCTAGTACCTATAAATGTTAGGACTGAAAAGTGAATATTATGTCTAAAGTTCTGCAACAGCGTAGATCATTCGATCGTAATATTGCTTGGGTATTTCCATCTTAAAATTTCAATGATTCAGTTTAAAGTTAATTTATTTACTTTATTCTTATTTATAGAATGACGAAGAGTGCATTAAGACTTCATATCATTATTTATCTTGCATAATTAGTTATCTAGAATCAGAATTTATATAGATATGTATTATAGAGTTAATGACTTGGTACAACATCAATCTTATTCCAAAGAATAACTAATTAATTATTACTGAGGGTCATACATTGTTGATAATATCACACAGTTTAATTATAAAGGCAACTGTATTCCATCGAATAGTACCAACAAATTGCATAAACCTCATACAAAATAAGTAATTATTACCGCACATTCATAATTACAAACATAGTTCCGAATATTTAATAAAGCACTCAACTTTTTGTGATTATCATCCTTCCTTATAAATATTGTGTTTTGTTGAAGGTCAGGCGTTGAGAGGGTTTTAAATACAAGCATTTGTGATGTGCCCGTCATTTGATTCAGACATTACATCAATTGCGTAATCAATTCAGAGCTTTGGAATTGCAGTAATGAACGGTGCAAGTAAATGCAACTTGTTAATTTTTATGTTTCTATTTGTTGCAACTGTTGTTTCGCAAGAAAAGTTCTATGATAGAAGATACGATTATTACGAAATAGACACTTTGATACAGAATCCTAGGTTACTGAAGAAGTATTTGGATTGTTTTCTTTGGAAAGGACCCTGTACACCCATAGGAAGAGTGTTCAGACGTAAGTACCACTTAATGTTTATTGCTTACATAATTTTCTACCTTATGTAAATAGGAATTGTGCAACTTTATGCTTTAAATAGTAAAATATTACATCCTATTACGTGTATTCATATTGCGCCCTATATGTATGTTATTAAGGGTTATTTCATGCGTCTAAGTAAATGATTTTCAGTATTGAATTACATAATTTTCTTTAATTAATTATTGTATAGCTATTCAATTGCCTTTAATTAAAAATTATGAAATAAAAATTACAATACTACTCAATTTTAAGATGAAACTATACTTAAGCGGGATTTAAAATTGAGTAACTTTTCAGTATTCGGGTGGCAGTAAATCATTCTTAATAGATACTTTTTTGTTATGTTTTTTTTAATTACCAAATGTCTTTATCAACTGATCTGCCTTTATTTAATTAGCTTTAGTAAAGTACAATATTTATGAAGCCTTACAAGTTACATAGTTACTATTTGGTTCTAAGCTTGACAATAACAAGTCAGTAAGGCTTTAAACTTAAGCTGGAACAATTATTAAAAGAAATCCACGTCAAAGTCCAGGTAATGTAATGTATTTTAACCGACTTCAAAAAAAGAGGATTCGCAGTTTGACATGTATGTATGTTTGTGCGCGATAATTTCGCGACGGTTTGAACTGATTTTGATGTGGTTATCGATATATTATATACTAGCGACCCTCCCCGGCTTTTCACGGGTATAATAATAAAGAAATATGCATGTATTTATACATATAAACCTTCCTGAAGAATTACTCTATGTATAAAAATAACAGCATCAAAATCCGTTGAGTAGTTTTAAAGATTTAAGCATACATAGGGACAAACAGACGGCGGATAGCGGCTTTGTTTTATACTATGTAGTGATTATATAAAAGTGTTTGTTAGGAGAAGGTTCTAGTATATTATATTAAACTGTCAAACACCAAGCGGTCACCGGTGACCGCAACCTATTGTTCTATAATTGTGTCTACAAAACCGGTACTCGACGAGTTAATTAATCGACTGCAAAGATTAAGGGGATTGATGTCGGTTTCTTAAACGTAATTTATAATTTTCTTATCATCTGTGATACTTTCTTCTCTTGTCCATGAAAACTTACAATAACTTTATCACTTAATAAGTGACAATAAATTCTCCCAAGTCAACATGTTTGGAAACTGTTTAGAGGTTGCAACTTTATGACTGTGTTACGTCGTAGCTTTCATATGAAGGTACTTTGCAAATACCTATTGTATTTGTCACCTTTTGCTATTACATAATTCACACATAATATTATCTCCCAAAGGCATATGTATATATATATAACATATATAACCCCACGAGGGTAGGCAGAGACTGAAACGCCAATTGCTACGATTCTTACACACCTCTTTCGCTTCATCAACAGTCATCAGTCTTGTCAAGCATTCTCGTCGGTTCAGGGTACTTTTAATATGGCCCTTCTTTAATATATCGCCAATCTGGTCGATATAATGTTTGTCTAGGGCGCCATCTACCGATGGCCGCAATTATATCCCATGTATACAAAGGAACATGTGTGCTTGTAATTGCAGCTGTTACTTTGGTACCTACATTAGGGAGTCTATAGTCTTGTACTGAACACAAATGTAGACTCTCTGCTGTTATAGAAAGCCTGAAAATGTTCAAGACCTTCTCCCCTAACAGCTATGTAATGTAATTACACTGGAGTGGTTTGTTATTGAGATTTGAGACGGTCTGTATCTGTACTTCTCTTTATCCAATAAAGTTTAATGTATACTGAAACTATGATTTTATAATAACTATCGTGAGACATACTGAATTAACCAAAAATTGTGAGTTATGAGTACATACTGAGAAAAGCTCTACTAGTTTCGAGTCATAGCGGGACTCTTCCTCATGAGTAGCCTCTGTGACGCGAAACTAGTACAGCAATTCTCGATATTTTTACGTGGGTAAGTCGTAATTTTTATTTAATTTAGTTATTCTGAAACTATTAAAATATTTCACTTCCAATCATGAAACCAACAAAAAAATAAACAGGTCACATTTAATTTATTAACAAAGTACATAATTATTTGTAACGCAAATGAAGTTACTCAAAAACTTACTCAAGTACATAGTATACACATGTACATACATAATTATGATCAAAGCATAATATTATTAATGTAACCAAAGAAATAAATGGGAAAACCCAATTCTATGACTGTTTACTTTGATGTACTTAACTGCTTGTGAAGTATCGGGTTAAACCACAAAAGTTCGCCAGTGAAGTAGAGGTACATTCAATCAATATTTAACTTGATGTTAGTAGCTAACCTTTTTTGTTTATTTACTCAAGTGATGTATGAAACTACTGGAATAAATGTGAACTGTCTGAGTATGTCATAATTAATTTATGTAATGTGTTATGTTATAACTAGTCGTTGTAGAACTGTCCTTTATGAGTAAACGTAAATAGTGTTGTAATAGGGTAGTTGTCAGGGAATGAAAATTAAAAATCTAATTAGTCCGTCAGTTAGATAATGAAAAAATATTAGACACGTATTTTTTATTTCCTCGTATAAAGTTACAATACTTAGATAAACTGTAGTTAAGTTTAGGAGTGGGAGGTCGTTACATTTTGTACGCTACATTTTGTAGCACTTTGTGACGTCACATGATATTTCAGATTAATATATTTTCGAAAGTATTTAGTTTTGCCAGAAAAGAAAAAATATGCGTCTAATGTTTTAAATAAAACTACCTGACAGACGTTGTAATATAATTTAGGCAACTACCCTATTATAAATCAACTTTTTGATAGTTTTATATACTTCAAACAGAACCCGTATTAATGAATTCGTCATTAAAAGGTTCGTAAAACAACCTGGGCTGATGATCCTGGACGCTTTACTCAAATTTATGAAGAAAATTGTTACCTTTTAATTTACTTAGCTGTTATCAAATCTGTATTCTACATAGATATTGAGTGGAACTTTATACTTAGGTAGTACAAAGTTAAATAAACATTTTCTCACTTAATAAGAGAATTGTAATTCATCAAAAATATGTCTCAAATATTTTTCAGTCTTTTGATATAAACCAACCTAATACAGGCTCCAAAAGGCCGGCTCCAGTGAACCAGCCAATCAGAGCGCTGAACGCGCTCGATACTATTACGTTACGAATGTTATAGTTATTCGTGCTTAGCACTCAGATGTCCAACCAAATTAATTACAGAAATCCTGCCCGAAGCGGTTCAGACAGCGTGTAAGAAGTGCACTCCATCACAGCGGCGACTGGCAAGAAAAACGTTCAACGCTTTCAAGGGATATTTCCCAGAGATCCATGAGGAACTGAGGAAGAAACTTGACCCAAAAAACAAGTACTATGAAGCCTTTGAGAAGGCTATATCGAATGCTTGAACCAATCCACTGCCCACTTAGCGTTTTATCAAGTAAGTATAAGTTTTATAAGTATACTTAGTTATATAAGTAAGTATAAGTATAAGTAAAGTGAGTCAGATTGCTTAAAAAATACGGATGCAATCGTTATAATAGATTTGGTTATATCCGTGGTTTGGTTTCCGTGTTAGGTCTATTATCTCAAAGGGCAATAATAATAAAAAAAAACTTAATTAACATATTTATTAGGTATACGCATACCGTGATTAGTTAAGGTAGGTTAAGATTGTAGATATGATATGAACTTTAATAGATACGTCTTCCAGTGCAAATGCAAATGAGTGGTAATTTGCGTTAGAATTGCTCACTGTACCGAAAAACATAAATATTATGAGTCAAAGTCATCGAAGTCTTTAGGGTAAGACGTCAGTGGTCGTAGTTTAGAATTACGTCTGATACGTAGCGATGAGTTCGCGTAAATTAAATATATTTACTACAAACCCTTCAGAGACTAAAATGTGTGTAGGTCAACCACTGTCATTTTGTGTACGTTGTTATCTCCAAAAAACCATACCAAATTCAAATCGAACCGATAATTAAAAATAAAAAAATATTGATACTAAATAAAAAAAATAAATCGTCCATTCGTTCCTATTATATCGATTGCAAGGAAAACGAGTACGTAAAAAATGTATGTAATCGATTCAATCCTCGATTGGTCAAAATTGAGGACTGCATTAATCGATTGCGCATGTTTTCAGGTTTTGTGTTTAATAATACGATGCAGGTGCGTTTATATGACTCAAGAATAATATAATAGGTGGCCACGTTACACCATTCATGATTACGATTGTAATATTAAGTTACAATATAACATAACGTTTCTTTTACTGGGTTCCACTATAGCATTCAATTTTGCCAGTTATATTATTATTTACTAACAACCCTAGTCGTTTAAGCCTGCCATAATTCTTAATTCCTTGCTAATATCTACTAGTAGTTTTGTAGTTCAATTGTAACACATTTTTTTTGACTGGGGAAAATCATCCAATGACTTCTCCCGCCCGGGTGAGGCGAGAGAGAATGTCAGACTCTTAATGTCGTAAAAACTACTCCGTTCCTACTCCTGCACTTTGAGCCGGAGCCCCGACAACCTGTTAAGTCCTTCGCGGCTCCGAATCGGTAGCAACTTTATTGGTTGTCTGATGACTCGTTATAATTGTAACAAATATTATTATACAAGGCACAATGACTTTCTTTAAACTTTAATAGATATATTTTTTATTTTAGTTGGCCTATCGGCTCTGATCCCTAATAATAAATAAATACATAATATCATACGAAATCTAAAACCACCTGCATCCCATCGATCTTTCCTCAAAATTGGCTAAAATCGGTCCAGCGAACACGCAATATTTCTTACGAGTATGACATGAATATGAACATAACATCACGCCATTTCTAACTGTAGCTACATAGTTTAATTCTAGCTCAAGTCAGTCATAACATTAGTACTATGTAATCATAAGCAAGCTATTACTCTATACCGGACGCGTTGATACTGTTGACTGTTTTGAAATCGAAAAACCCAATGTTCAAGAGTTTTTGCTCAATATTGACTAGTGACGTTAGAGATTAGGGACCTACTAGATTACCAAAACTTTGCATTGTACTTTTTACCGACTTCAAAAAAAGGAGGAGGTACTATGTTCGGCTGATTGTTTTTTTTTTGTTTGCTCGCGTAGTACTCCTCCATTTGTGAGACTTCTAACCTCAGTGGGTGGGTAACCTATCAGTACTGATTATTTTCTTCTTTTTAGTTTAGACTTTTTGCTTGTTATTACTCTTTGGTTTTTAATAGAATTCTGTTCGAATGTATTATCATAACATAACA